CTGCACCCTTGGACTGTGATAATGAATGTGTTCCATAAAGTTTTGTTAACTGTTAAAAGCCTAGTCTGAAGTTACAGTAAAGGGGTGCATGGTGGTACATAGCGTTTTGTAGAAGAACAGGGCCTGTAAGCACATATGGGGATGAAGAGAAATAATTGGAAGGCCATTATTAAGGTTTGATTCAGCAGAGAAATGGCATGAAGTGTGTAGTTCAGGGGTAGGCAACCTTAAAGAGGTGGAGATCTGCCTGAACAACATGGGAGAAGTCAAAGATCACCGGGCACAGTGCTGCCATCTCACACCTGATTTAAATCTCTAATTGCCATACTATCATGTCGCAATCATTTGCATTGCATGCCAATAATGGGTTTAAATCAGATGGTGAGGTAGCAACAGTTCGCATTCTCACCACCTGTCAAACAGGGCTCTTAGGGCTTGTTCATGTATAAAGTTGGGGGTGTGTGGTAAAACCCTGCTGTTGAGACCCCCAGTCCTTGCCCCCTTTAGCTGCTGATGCATCAGCCAAGGGTGTACACATGCTGCTGCAGGAATTAAACCCCCTGTTGCTTTTGGTGGGTGCTACCACCTGTCAATCACGACCCATTCAAGTAAATGGGGACACTTTGCAAGTGCCCCGCGCAAACTGCATGCTTCTACAGGGTCCACGGGGTAAAAACAGCTGGAGAGAAAGTGACATAACACTGCATTCTTTAACACCTTGTTTGCTGTACTGCACAAGGTTACAGGGCACTTGCAGAGTGGACTCATTCACTTGAATGGGTCATTGTGAGGGATTTCCAGCAAGACGAATCGCGATCTGAAATGCGCATGCACATAGGAATTCCCAGAGAAGAATCACCGGTTGTGCGCATGCGCGCAGAAATGCGCGATTGCGCACACGCACGGCGAAGATTGGCGCCAGACAGCCTATTTAAATAGTGTCTCTGCCCATGTTGCGTGCTGATTGGTCTTCAGCTCCCCCGTGTCCTGCTTGTTCCTGTGTGATTCCTTTGTTGCTGACCCGGCTTGTTCCTCACCTGACTCTGATTGCTCTCCTGATTGATACTGGTCCCTGACTTCGGGCTCTGCTCCTGACCTTGGCTTTCCTTCTGATTCTGTACCGTGCTGCCCGACTGTTGATGACCCTGGCTATTCCCATGACACTTGCTCCTGTCTCTTACCCTCACTACCTGTCTTGCTCTGGTGCACGCCTGGCATTCTACAAGACCCGCTCTGCTTGTTACTACTGTGCCTGAATCAGAAGATCATCAGTCTTCCAGAGTCATCATCTGCAAGAGCTGCAAACAACAACAACTACTGGTGCTCTTGTTCCCCTGGGTCCTAGACTCCCTCTGTTCCAACTCCAGTGGGGTCAGGTCTAGTGACACAAGTGAGGCCGACCACGTCATTTCAGTCTCCCATCAGGTACGTGACAGGCATGCTTGGCAGGAGCTATACTCACCAACCATGACAGATTATCAGATTATAGAACACCTGCTGTGGCTGCTACATGTGCACAACCCTGGCCACTGCAGCTAAAGGGACTATGATTGGGGCGGGGATGGTAAAAAACACATTTTAACTATGAGCTTTTACAACCTCCAAAACTGCAAATGTAAATGAACCCTTACTATTCTGAGCCCGCTATAAGGCTGCTTTCACATGGATGTACTATGGTTTACCTGCACAGTGCATCTGTGACTTTCCTGGGTTAGCTGCACTTTTCCATTGACTTCTATTATAACCTGTAGGTGTGGTGCACTTTCTGAAAGCACCTCAAACCTCCTGCATTCGGCAGGAGCAGCAGATACAAAGACAGAGAGAAACCGTGTGGGACCATGGCAATCGCATCAACACAGCTGTTAGGAATGGACTGGCCAGCAATGGTGGGACTCACCTGCCTTTTGATCTGCAGTACCAGGGCTGGCCAGCGGGTGCTCCCAGCAATCAGAGACTCAACCTTTCAGCCAGCTAACACCTGGAACTGATGATGCTGGGGTATTTAAGGGATGGCCAGACTTGCAGACTCTGCCTTGGTGTTGTGTTTGTCCTGGGCCCTGTATCTGTCCTGCATCCTGTTTCTGTTCCTTTGCTGACTTCTCCTGCTCTGATCCTGGCTTGTGACCCTGACCATTCCTCTGTCTGACCCTCTGTACTATGCTGCTTGCTACCTGCTGAACCTGGCCTGTGACCCCGACTATTCTCCGCTTGCTCCCCCTGTACCTACCTGCCCAATTGATATTGACCCGGCCTGCCTGACGACGCTTGCTTGTATATACTGTTATCTGTGGGTGGTTTGGTTTGGTTTGTTTGCACTGTATTATGTTTTAGTATTGCACTGCGTTTATGTTTGTACTGTTAGTGTTAATAAATTATATTGTTTATAACATATCTGAGGTCTGCGTTTCCCTGCTTCAGTCACACACCTCTGGTCATACCTGGGAGCCCTGACATTACACCAAGGCCAATCCTGACCAGAAGTGGCTGCACAGGGAAGCCATCTTGGCTTGTTGATGGGAAGGATGGATCTAGATGAGGTTGAGTATTTATCTCTGCTAGTGCTTGATGACAGAGAGTATGCTTATCAGACTCTGAAGGAGTATACCCGGGATGAACTGCTAGAATGTATACGGCTCGCTCATGTTCTAGTAGATCAGGGCACAGTTTTCTCTATGGTGCAGCCATTGATTCAGGTTTGTGTTGAGTTGGTTTCATCTGGTTTCCCCGAATGCAGGGATGAATTTTTGCCACCATTTAGTGCAGACCAGGTAGAGTCCCTGGTGTGGTTATTAGAGGATGATGTGGGTTACTTTCTGGAGCGTTATTCCACATGTTCACCACAGACACTGAGAGATTGTATAAACGCAGTACAGTCATTGACCAGACAGACTTTGTGTAAACTCAGCTTTGTTCAACCCCTACTGCAGACATGGACAGACTTGTTGCACCCAGCCTCAGTCAGCTTACAAAGACCCAGTCCTGCTTCTAACTCTACTCCTGTATTCCCACCAGCTCCTCCAGTTACAGCCCAGTATACTTGGCTATCTACCGCATGTCAGTACCCTGTTCCCACTCGCTGCACCTATCCTGCCTTTAACCCTGTAAAAAAGCCCTCTGTAGCAACTGCTCCCTCTCCTGTTCCATCCTCCAGTTCTTCTCTGTCTCCAGCTGCTCCATTCGTTTGCAGACCTGCGTTTACTTGCAGTGCTCCAGTAGTTAAAACCAGAAAAAAGCGAAAATTCTTTCCAACCAATACCATCCTGCCAGTATCCAAACCGGTGAGCCTGCCTTCCGTGGTTCAGCCTGATGCCTGTACTCGGCCTGAAGCCTCTATGCGGCCTGAAGCCTCTCCTCAGCCTGAAGCCTCTACGCGGCCTGATGCCTGTACTCCAACACTTGAAGAGCCAGGGATAGTAGATATCAGAAATGATAAAGAAAAGCCAAGTAATGCACTGACCAGATAGCGCAAGTTAAAGCGCATGGGACATTTAAGACCTGTCCCTGGTACTCAGCCACTGTATCACTGGAGCAAGGCGGTGTCATCTATAGGGTGACCACTAGATGTCATCTGTCCGGATGGAAGCTGTGTTCAGCCACTGTGTTGATGGATCAGGTGGGTGTTGTCTGTAGGGTGACCACTAGATGTCATCGGTTCCAGGGGAAACTGTATCACGGATCCAGGGACGTCACTGCAGATGTGTTCTTGTTAGGCACAATCCCAGGACCTACTGGATTTACAGGCTCCCCAGAAATAAAGAGCCCGTGGAAAAAGGCCTCAAATAGTGTGATAACGTTTATTTAAAATTGAACAATCAGAAAAGAACTTACTTAGCAAAGGTACAGCTGCTTATAAACGGCCAGACCGGAGGTACATGTACATAAGATAAACATAGCTTGATGTGTACTTACACGCGTATCGTGTAAGTACACATCATCAGATGATGTGTACTTACACGATACGCGTTAGGGAAGTGCCAAGCTATGTTTATCTTATGTACATGTACCTCGGTCTGGCCGTTTATAAGCAGCTGTACCTTTGCTAAGTAAGTTCTTTTCTGATTGTTCAATTTTAAATAAACGTTATCACACTATTTGAGGCCTTTTTCCACGGGCTCTTTATTTCTGGGGAGCCTGTAAATCCAGTAGGTCCTGGGATTGTGCCTAACAAGAACACATCTGCAGTGACGTCCCTGGATCCGTGATACAGTTTCCCCTGGAACCGATGACATCTAGTGGTCACCCTACAGACAACACCCACCTGATCCATCAACACAGTGGCTGAACACAGCTTCCATCCGGACAGATGACATCTAGTGGTCACCCTATAGATGACACCGCCTTGCTCCAGTGATACAGTGGCTGAGTACCAGGGACAGGTCTTAAATGTCCCATGCGCTTTAACTTGCGCTATCTGGTCAGTGCATTACTTGGCTTTTCTTTATCATTTCTGATATCTACTATCCCTGGCTCTTCAAGTGTTGGAGACTGTATACGTATTTAGCGCATCTGATGAACTGACGCCGTCTTTTTTTGCCGATCCACATTCAAATGGGATCTATCTTATGTGTAATCATTGTTTAAGTTAGCGCTGCACTTTCATATTTTACCATTACTCTGGAGGTTCACGAGGTGCCTTTTGTGCCAGCAGCTACCCTATCTACATCCTCATACTGCGCTCGATTTTATATATATATTTATATATAAGTTTATTTGATGCCTGTACTCGGCCTGATGCCTGTACTCGGCCTGATGCCTGTACTCGGCCTGATGCCTGTACTCGGCCTGATGCCTGTACTCGGCCTGATGCCTGTACTCGGCCTGATGCCTGTACTCGGCCTGATGCCTGTACTCGGCCTGATGCCTGTACTCGGCCTGATGCCTCTACTCGGCCTGATGCCTCTACTCGGCCTGATGCCTCTACTCGGCCTGATGCCTCTACTCGGCCTGATGCCTCTACTCGGCCTGATGCCTCTACTCGGCCTGATGCCTCTACTCGGCCTGATGCCTCTACTCGGCCTGATGCCTCTACTCGGCCTGATGCCTCTACTCGGCCTGATGCCTCTACTCGGCCTGATGCCTCTACTCGGCCTGATGCCTCTACTCGGCCTGATGCCGCTACTCGGCCTGATGCCGCTACTCGGCCTGATGCCGCTACTCGGCCTGATGCCGCTACTCAGCAGGATGAACTGATCCAGCCCGACGATCCTATTAGGCCAGTTGACTCGATGCCCGCTGTTGATCCAGATGATCCGGAACCTGATCCCAGTGCCCGCTGTCGTGCCAATTGACTCAGAGCCCGCTGTCATACCTGGTGACCCGGGTGCCCACTGCCTTGCCAGATGACGCGGTGCCCGCTGGCAAGCCAAATGACCTGATGCCTGGTGACCCAGTGCCCGCTGTCATACCTGGTGACCCGATGCCCGCTGTCGAGCCAGACGATCCAATGCCTGGTGACGCGGTGCCCACTGCCTTGCCAGATGACCTGATGCCTGGCGACCCAGTGCCCGCTGTCATACCTGGTGACCCGATGCCCGCTGTCGAGCCAGACAATCCGGTACCTGATGCCCCGGTGCTCACTGTCGTGCCTGTTGACTCGGAGCCCACTGCCTTGCCAGATGACGCGGTGCCCGCTGTCGAGCCAAATGACCTGATGCCTGGTGACCCAGTGCCCGCTGTCCAGTCAGACGATCCAATGTCTGACCCAGTGCCCGCGGTCATACCAGTTGACTCGGAGCCCACTGCCTTGCCAGATGACGCGGTGCCGCTGACAAGCCAAATGACCTGATGCCTGGTGACCCAGTGCCCGCTGTCATACCTGGTGACCCGATGCCCGCTGTCGAGCCAGACAATCCGGTACCTGATGCCCCGGTGCTCACTGTCGTGCCTGTTGACTCGGAGCCCACTGCCTTGCCAGATGACGCGGTGCCCGCTGTCGAGCCAAATGACCTGATGCCTGGTGACCCAGTGCCCGCTGTCCAGTCAGACGATCCAATGTCTGACCCAGTGCCCGCGGTCATACCAGTTGACTCGGAGCCCACTGCCGAGCCAAATGACCTGATGCCTGGTGACCCAGTGCCCGCTGTCCAGTCAGACGATCCAATGTCTGACCCAGTGCCAGCGGTCATCCCAGTTGACTCGGAGCCCACTGTTGTGCCTGGTGACTCGGTGCCCGCCGCCCCGCCTGGGGGCCCGAGACCTGTCGGTTCCGCCTAAGGGCCCGAGACCTGTCGCTCCGCCTGGGGGTCCGGCACCTGCCACTCCGCTTGAGGGCCCGAGACCTGTCGCTCCATCTGGGGGTCCGGCGCCCGCCGCTCCGCCTGAGGGCCCGAGACCTGTCACTCCACCTGGGGGTCCGGCGCCCGCCGCTCCGCGCTGAGGGCCCGAGACCTGTCGCTCCCACCTGGGGGTCCGGCGCCCGCCGCTCCGCCTGAGGGCCCGAGACCTGTCGCTCCTCCTGGGGGTCCCGGCGCCCGCCGCTCCGCCTGAGGGCCCGAGACCTGTCGCTCCACCTGGGGGTCCGGCGCCCGCCGCTCCGCCTGAGGGCCCGAGACCTGTCGCTCCAGCTGGGGGTCCGGCGCCCGCCGCTCCGCCTGAGGGCCCGAGACCTGTCGCTCCGCCTGGGGGTCCGGCGCCCGCCGCTCCGCCTGGGGGCCCGATGCCTGTCGCCCCGCCTGGGGGCCCGGTGCCTGTCGCCCCGCCTGGGGGCCCGGTGCCTGTCGCCCCGCCTGGGGGCCCGGTGCCTGCCTGTCGCCCCGCCTGGGGGCCCGGTGCCTGTCGCCCCGCCTGGGGGCCCGGTGCCTGTCGCCCCCCCGGGGGCCCGGTGCCTGCCGCCCCGCCCGGGGGCCCGTGCCTGCTGGGGCCCCGCCTCTGGGGCCCGAATGCCGCCCCTGCCCGGGTCCTGCCCGCTGCCTGCCCTCGCCCGGTGGCCCACCTGCCTGCCGCTGCCCCGGGGGCCCGCTGCCTGCCCGCTCCGCCTGGTAATCCGATGTGCCTCTGCCCGGAGTCCTGCCCGATGTGCCTCTGCCCGGAGCCCTCTGCCCGATGTGCCTCTGCCCGGTGTGCGCTCTGCTCGATGTGCCTCTGCTCGATGTGCCTCTGCCCGGAGTCCAGCCCGGTGTGCCGCTCCCCGGAGTCCTGCCCCGGTGTGCCAGTCTTTGATATCCCGCCAGTTGCCAGACCCGGGCGGTGGAACATTTTGCCCAGCTAGGACTGTTTTGGAGCGTCCTGAGGCCGCTCCTTGAGGGGGGGGTACTGTTAGGAATGGACTGGCCAGCAATGGTGGGACTCACCTGCCTTTTGATCTGCAGTACCAGGGCTGGCCAGCGGGTGCTCCCCCAGCAATCAGAGACTCAACCTTTCAGCCAGCTAACACCTGGAACTGATGATACTGGGGTATTTTAAGGATGGCCAGACTTGCAGACCTCTGCCTTGGTGTTGTGTTTGTCCTGGGCCCTGTATCTGTCCTGCATCCTGTTTCTGTTCCTTTGCTGACTTCTCCTGCTCTGATCCTGGCTTGTGACCCTGACCATCTCCTCTGTCTGACCCTCTGTACTATGCTGCTTGCTACCTGCTGAACCTGGCCTGTGACCCGACTATTCTCCGCTTGCTCCCCCTGTACCTACCTGCCCAATTGATATTGACCCGGCCTGCCTGACGACGCTTGCTTGTATATACTGTTAATCTGTGGGTGGTTTGGTTTGGTTTGTTTGCACTGTATTATGTTTTAGTATTGCACTGCGTTTATGTTTGTACTGTTAGTGTTAATAAATTATATTGTTTATAACAAATCTGAGGTCTGCGATTCCCAGCTTCAGTCACACACCTCTTTGGTCATACTGGGAGCCCTGACAACAGCGCTTGTTGCATAGAGAGCAGAAAATGCTCTCATCATCCCTCCCTCACACCTTTAATCACTGGAGACATCTGCAATCAGACATAAAGGGGCCCCCCCTTTCTACTGCAGAAACATTGCATCTTTGTTGCAAGGATTGGTGAGAAGGCAGATCACCCACTTGCATCATACTGTTACGTTATGACTAAATATCTGAGAGGACATTAGGGCAACTAGGGCCTATACTTCAGCATTATTGCACCTGTACTATGTCAATCTCACATTAACACCATCCCCATACTGTGCCTACATTGTAAATGGACTGCACCTCTACTGTCTGCTGGTCCATCAAGACACTTGTAAAAGTGCACCAACATTATTAAAGGGCCTCAACTATAGCCAGCAGAAAAACATCATAAAGGACTGCCCCTCTCATATTGAGCCTTTTACTAGTCCCTACCCTTTACCTATCCAGCAGGTATTTTCACACAATAAGCCTAGGCCTAGCACTGTCATCCTCAATGCACTCAGGCAATATAGCCTCCTTCTGGTTCACTTCAGGTGTGCATGATGATTTCACAAACAGGCTCTGTTCTGCTACCGTGTGAGTTTAGGAATTAGTTACTAGGATACTATTAATACTTGTATTTCTGAAAGTATTCTTAATTTACAGAATTTTTTCACACCTGCTAAAACCTTTGCACAGTAGTATATATATATAGTTTATATTGCACCTGGAGAGCACCTGAGCACCTTGAATGGGCCTGACCTATTAAACTCATCAATATGAACAAGGCTGAGAGGTCTTCCTTCTGCATCTGCTGCAAGCCCAGTTTCTCTGTTTTCTTTTGACATCTGTTATGGCTACAGATTTAGTCTAATCATTCATAAATCACTTTTACTGGATGTGACATTATTTACTGTTAGGTTGATAAAGTGTTTAAAGAATGAAATGGTTTGTTGAGCTTAGAACAGGTACACTGAAGAGGTACTCTGGGGAATGAAGAAATCTCACATCACTTTCTGTTTATGAACAGCCTACCCAATGGAATTAATTAGCTACGGGGATTGCAAACAGTAAAATGCACAAAGTATGCTGTATACTGCAACAGCGATTACAGTTCATGTTTAGCCTGAATTCCCTGATATTATAAGTAAAAGCTAAAAGTGGAAAGCATTGCAGTCTAAAGACATTAAATGACATGTTATTGTAGTCTATGGAATATAAACAATCACATTAATGACCTTAAGTGATGTCCACTGAATGAACATATTATTGGACATCAATGAAACTAAATAATAAATAGCAGTGATCCTGGAGGTGGCATACACATGATAAGAGTTAAAGAAGATATTTTTTTACTTCTATACAGTGGTGCTGTGCCTGCACTGCATGGGTTAGCTGTTTGTTTTGTCTAGGGGTGAGCAGAAAGAATATACTCACCCAGTCTTACGATCCTCTGGAAAATTAAGCTCCCCCACCTCCAGCAGTGGACTGTTCCTGTAGTCCTCATGTCTAAAGCCAGTCTATAGGCGTGATGACTTCAGATACAGTCCATTCACAAGACCATGCTGGCATGTGGGGGGCAGGAGCTGCAGGAACCAGTCTTGCGCTTGGAGGATCAGTTGTATTATCTAAGTTTAACCTCCGTTCTGCAATCCCCTAGACAAAAACAAGCAGTTAACCTATAAAGTGCGTACACAGCCCCACTGCATGGGAGAAGAAAAATTGCCCAAAGTTCTTCTTTAACTGTTTGTTATACAACACACTTTATTAGGAAACAAATGTCTGGAATTATGCTATAATATTCCTGTCTTTGACCCACTGGGGAGATGATAGATTACTTCCAGTCCCCGTGATACCTATATAAGGAATGGGAGTTATGGGTGTTACCAAGGAAGGTGTTGACAGCCCTGTCTTCCTCATTCTACTAAATATGTACTTTGATCTTTCTTTGTGTCTCTGTTGGATGGATGTTCCATTACTTTCTGTACTGATACAAACGGCTGCTATGGGGCATTCTCCTAGATACTGTACGCATAGAAGACTTATGGAAGTATATGGCATTTTATTGTACACGCTCAAGCTGCATGATGAAGATGCAAGTCAGCATTGTGGTATAGAGCTTGTAGGTAGGAGTTAGGTTAGATAAGGTTTGAGGGGGTGGGTTTATGGGAGTACGCTTTATTTAAAAGCATACTTTCCCTTTTAATAAAACATACCCAAATTAGCCCTTCCATGAATCAGCACATTTTGCTAGCACAACTGAAAAAGCAAAATGACTTCAGTTCTTTCAGAAGATATGATCCTAATCTTAAGAAACAATGCAACATTTTTAGGCTGAATAGGAAGTACAACAGTATAATTATCATTCAGCTCCTTTGTGTTCAGAAAAACGGAAAAATGATATGTTAATGGCAATTTTAAACCTACTAGAATTTCTGAAATAGAGGTCATATTGTTCTGGAAGTGAGAATTTTTTGTCATTTGAATACATTTTACTTTTGTTTGACACAATAAAAAATAATTATAAATTGTAAAAATAATCCAGAAGAAGGCAAAAAAATCAAGAAGGCAACATCCAATTTGCTGCAGCAAATTCTGTTCTCAGACTCCAGCAGGAGCTGCTGATAGGATGGGTCATCTGTTCTTTGCCTGAAACCTTTTCAAGAACCTTCTCAAAAGCCCCTTTGACACACTAGGTTAACTGTACGAACATACAATATCACAGAAAATCACTGAAAGTAATACTTCGTACCCAGTAGCAGTACTATATTATAGAAAACAGACACAAAACCAGGTATTAAAGGCAAAATGAATATACTGTCACCCAATATGGTTGGTAACTAGGCAAGCAGAAAATGGATTAACAATAGTAATAACACAATTTAGCATACAAAGTGATTATCAGTAAAGACTAGGCATAAGATAACATTTGGTGTCCAGATCAGCATAAACAGTAGCAAGGCCACCTCCAGTGCAGCAGTGAGCAGTACTAACGTTTAATATACTGAGTGCTGGAACTATACTATCAAAGTGCATTTATTGTGCACACATAGGCTTTTAGAGAAGTTTAGAGGCAGAAGTGTTTACTGGAGAATTCTGAAAGTAATAAAATTGCTTTCAGGAGAGGAACTTTTGGGCAGATAAAAACGCGCAAGGTGACTAAAAGCGTCTAAAAGCCCCAAAACACTAGGCGCATTTAGTGCTTGAGCATTTATTCATTTCAATAGCAAGAATAAATCCATATTCTGGATAATGACATGAATAAATGCTCAAACACTTGATGCTCCTACCCTAAACACCCCTGAAAAAATTTGACTTTAGGTGCATTTTTAACACTGCTTTTCTCCTGTCAGATGGCTTTGTTGTTTGATAAAGTGTCCAAAAACCATTATAGAAGTAATGTGAAGTTTCAGTAAAATCCACCAAAGCTAAATTTCTTTCAGTTCAGTGAAACTTGGTAAATAAGTACCTAGGTTTCAAAATGACATTCATGGTAGAAATGCATGTACCCATCTTTGGGAATGCATTGGGTTGCTGACGGTGTCAAATTTAATTAAAGTTTTTTTGTGGCATGCATAGAAAAGAAAGGAGAAATTGAAAATTGCACTAGTGTAGCATCTCAATAGAGTAATGGTAGAGGACAGTAGTGACAATACCACCTCCAGCAATAATGGTTGCTGCTTCCCAGATGGTTGATAATGGTGATGATCTACCTATTCTCTC